TTGGGAACATTTAAAAAACTATCTCTTTACCAGCAGACTGTGTTGAGATTGGACCTCACACGGTCCTGCAACAGATTTCTTGAGGTTGGAAATGGACAGGTGACAAGGTGACCATAAAAAAAATGCCTTTTTGGTGATTTGGGACACAGTGTATCTTTCTTATAGAGGTACAGCATGAAAGTCTTTACCAGACAAATCAGTGTTTCCTTGGAAAAAAAAATTCTAGGACAGGCTTTTCCAATGTTTGGGGCTTGAGAGTCAACCTGAAAGTCCATGAATGGGTTGATGAACCGAAGAGTTTAGGTCCTGCTTTAAGCGGGTTGGTTGTATTTATGTGGTAGACATCAGTCAATGCAGGAATATGCATAAAGTCTGGTGCTCCTTGAGCAGAGTTTGACTTCTAGTGACATAAGTAACACATCTAGGTAGTGTTTCTTAGTAGCCATACAGAAGTGATTTGCCACTGCCTTCCTAGTTCAATCTACACTATGGGTGTCAGACTTGCGGTGCCACGTTGCCATTATGTGACACTTTACTGTGTTATTCCCCTTCACAGAGCTGGGGTGGGTGTGACCTGCGCATGATGCATCTGGCCCACAGGCCACCAGTTTGACACCCCTCATCTACACCAGTGGTGGGATTCAATTCTTTTTTACTTCTGTGGGTTCTGTGGGCGTGGCAGAAGGATACTGTAAAATCTCCAGTCAGAAGTGCTATTTGCCAGTTCTCCGAACTACTCAAAATTTCCGCTACTGGTTCTCCAGAACTGGCCAGAACCTGCTGAATACCTCTGATCTACACTCTTGGGATTTTTTGATGGTCTCCCAATTTTCCAAGTGTTCTTCCAAGTGCCACAGTAACAAAAATATTTTTTAAGAACAAAACCACAAGATTGCCACGTATTTAACAATATATATTTAATATATAATTTCTAGATCAGTACATTCAGTTTAATGTGTTTTTCTTCACAAACAGAAGAACTCTTACAATAGTAAATTTCTAAAATAAATACTATTAAAATAGAACTTCGAAATAAATATTCTATACAAAGGAAAACTTCTGTGGTAATTTTTTTCAGTCGAGGAAAGAAGTAAAGAGGGAAAACCTGGACTGCTCTCTGTAAAGATTAATAAAAAATAATCTAACCATGCACAGAGTTCAGGACAGCAACTTGAAAAAGCAGCTATTTTACTTTGCTAAAGCAACAAGAGACAGAAATAGCAAGTGCTGTGCCACTGTGTGCCCACTTTCTGTCTCCTTGCTTTGTAGAGAATTATGCTGCCGGGCATGTCTTGGAAGAAATAATGTTTGCTCAGAACAAGGGATGGAACTACATCCCTTACTTGGTGTGCATTCTTCTTGTTTGTCCTGTTGAAAGGTAAAGGTGCTACCCATCTGAGGGGAGCCTTCAGGAATCACCCAGGGAAAGTAGGGGAGGAAGATCAAGGAGAAGACACCTTTAGCATCTTCCACCACTGGCCATTCAGAAACTGGTAGCCAGCTGTCAGGAAGGCCACAGGTTCCTTACTTTTCCCATGGGTTTAATCTATATAGATTGCACTTTTGATGCTCCTGAACAATTTCTTTGTGAACCACAATCCAGCCTGACCAGCCGGGGGAGAGTGTAAGGAAATTCCCTGGATCAGCCAATCAGTTCTTAGTTTCACATAGATATGGCGGTTCTGTCTTTATAACCCTTGAGAGACTGAGGTGGTCAGAAGAGTGCAAGAGGAAAAGAGGATCGGCTGTAGAACGGAAAGGGCAAAGGGTTGAGGGGAGCAGGAGAGGAACTTTTCAGGCAGAGCGTTCAAGAAGACCATCTCAAAGGAATAGCGTGAAGCAATTCAGGGTCTTCTTGGGCTGGACTAACCCAGAAAGTTTTCAATGCTCGGCAAGAATGTTGTCAGTGGTGTTGCTAGGTCTCGAGGAAAGAGCTGTAGAAACATGCGGACTGACTGCTCGACAAGAGGGCTAGGCAGAAGGAGGGGGAAGCTGTGGAGGCTGGCAGCTGAATTCTGCTTGCATTTTCAGAGTCTCCCTTTCCATGGTCTTTTTCCCCACATAATCCATCTCCAGTAGGTTGATACCGATAGGTTAAAAAACAAGCTTCAAAAACCCACACAGTAATTTTAAGTGGTTTTCAACTGCGTACAGTAACAATAAAAGCCCCAAGTTTTCTTTCTTTAAAAAAAAGTCTCAGAAATAATAAGACAAATGTAAAAAGTCAGTTTGGATGTTCTGCTTCTTTGTCTGACTTAAGAGCAGTGGTGGGATTCAATTTTTTTTTACTACCGGTTCTGTGGGGATGGCTTGGTGGCCGTGGCAGGGGAAGGATGCTGTAAAATCTCCTCAGAGGTGATATTTGCCGGTTTTCTGAACTACTCAAAATTTGCACTACCGGTTCTCCAGAACTGGTCAGAACCTGCTGAATATCACCTCTGCTTAAGAGTGCTAGAATTTACTTTAAAAAAAAAAAAGATATTGCTTGATCAGTACTGCTGCACACAAATAGGAACAAAAGAGACAACCAAACAGCATTTTCACCTCCAGATGTTTTACATATTATTTCCCTTGCTGTCAGGATATGGAGATAAACTTTCATTCAATTCAGAGGATACTACTTTGAGGAATGCCGTAACAAAGCATTTATAGTTGGAGAGTGCTACTTCATTACCATGAATATTGATAGGGATGAATTCATTCAACAATATGTTGGCTAAGGTTCTATTTTTTTCTCCCCTCACTCTGCCCCCACCCCCATGCCCTGTGATTCTCTCAAGTATTTGTAAGAACATCCATAACACACGTTGAGCAGAATCCAGCAGGAACTTGCTAAGGCTAATCTCAGACATCCAGGACTCATAGAACAAATTCTTTTTCCTATAAAATAGAAGAATGCGAACATATAAAAATATTAAAAATAATTTCCAGCCAAATCTATCTTTCTAAACAAATCCTCCCATCATGAAAAAAGTCAGCATATTGTTCTACCTGCTTATCCCTAAAATAATAATAAAATTGGCCTCCTTTCTCTCTACATAGTTGATTAATTTTGAATAAAGAAATCCTTCTCAGTTGAAAAGGTACCATGGATTTTTCTTTTCAAATTAAAGAGAGAAATACTCTTCACTCTTATAGACCAGCTTTTTACATGCCTGTCTTTTCCGTTTGTTGTGTAGTGTCAGTGACTTCCTATTTAGCATCTTGTAATAAAGTTAATCCACTGGCCTTGAGCAGGGATCCTTCCCACCTAAAAGGCATTTTAACAGCCTTTGTTGGTGTCAAGTACAGAGATTAACCTTCCCAACCTTCAGCCCTTCAAATATATTCCACTCCCATTTTCTCTATGTCTCCCAGTCAGCAGTGGAGCCACAGAACTTGTCATCCAACCTACCCAGGGGGCACCCATTTCAGGAAGTTTGATGTTGATATCTGGAAAGGGGTAGCTGACAAAAACTGTAGGTACTTTGTCAGAAATATGCCCCTCAAGCTTGTCTTTCCATCCACACAACACTTTAAAAAAATGTTAGCAAGCCTCCTGTAAGAACAGCGGCATGTTACTTTATAGAAAAAGAATTAAGCAGCAACTGTCTCATTTGAGAAATAAAATAGTGAGTGTATGCTGGTTTTGTCAAAACAATTCCATTTCGAAGAGAGTTTGGGATTGTGCTGACCCACTTCTAACTGTCCCAAGATACTCAGATATATTGTGTTTGGTTTGGATTAATCCTTCAGATGCAGAGCAGAGGCTAATTCTCAAGCTTCAGTTCAAGCATCTCTATCATCTGATTTAATAAAGTAGAATTTATATCAGGAGAATTGAACTGCTTATATTGATCCTGAAAGTACTGTTGAGATTACTTCCCTTGAAACTTATGCTCAGTTTTCCTTCTTCTTTTGCGTAGCAGGACCTTATTTGTGCAATAAAAATGTGCAATAATGATCAAGCAATATAACGGATTATTTCAAATGTATGCTCAGAATTTTCTGCGTCTGAAATGCAAACAGGGGCTTAAAGTCCCAGAAACTCTTTCGGTTGGGCACTCCAAGTTGGATCATAGCTTTCAAACTTGTTCCAGCACTGAAACATCAAAAGCCTTATATTACAATTTGCTCCTACTTGACCTGAATGGATGGAGTTCAGGCTGGTGGCTGCTGGTTTGAATTCTTTGTGGAACTTGTAAAAGGGAATGAATTCCTCCTCCCCGCCATTTCTGTTACAAGAGATCAAGAAACACTTAATAAGGAAGTAATCCATCAATTAGAATATACTCATTGTGGTGATCATTCTAAAAAGAACAGAGAGAGAGGGAGAGAGGGAAAGAAGATGATCTTGGAAAAGAATTTGGATATTTGCTCGTTATTAAGACTTTCAAGACTGTGCCTTAATGCAGGGGTCCCCAACCGCCGGTCCGCGGACCGGTACCGGGCCGCGGAACAAGCCTTACCGGGCCGCTGGTTGCTGGGCGCCGCCATCTTTTTTTGGTAAAAAAAGCAATTTTTCGTCAAAAA